ACCAAATGCGAACAACTTTCCAATGACTTAGGCCACGTCTTCACTACCAGGAAGATTGATGTTGTGGCGGTCGATCTTCCAGAGTTTGACTGAGAGGGTCTATTAAAGACCTCCTAAATAGAACTCAGAGGGCTCTCCTCCTCAATTCGCAAGGAGGAAGGGAAGTTGATGGGAGCCTTTGCTTCCGTCAACCTCCCGCTGTGGAGACAGCGCCAAAGGGCGAATTAAGATACGTCGACTCCAGCTACGTAATTAGGGTAGCTGAAGTTGCGTATCTTAATTCGACCTTCCAGGTAAATATGGACAAGGCCTTACTGTCTGTGTTTCATTTTTCCCAGTGAAAGAAGTGATGTGATTAACTGAGCTATGAGCCAAACATTCAATACTCCTTCCATGGTCTCCAAGCACTTCGCAGGGGATGGAGGGGCAGTATAGTTGCCAGTTGGTGGGTTAATGGTGGTGGGAGCGGAACACAGCTCCGTGTCAGGTCTCCTCATGCCCGGGCCCAGCGTCTTACCTGCAGCCGTTATTCCCGCCTCGTTAAGAATATGAATTAGATCTAGAGAAGCTAAAGCAGAGGCCAGAAATCCTCTCATCCCCATAGACAATAACTGCCCCCATATCTGTCAAGGGCAACTCACAATGCTTCTGTCTTCAGTTCCTCCCGCAGACCCGTGCAAACAAACACCCCACCTGATGGCGAGCCGGGGGGAGGGAGCTGGGTGCCTGACAGCAGAGACGATTTAGGGATTCCATGCTGGGCCTGCCGCTGCTGACCTAGCACATGTTGCTAAATCTGAGCAGGCTGAACAATCCCAGTAAATCCCGGGGCAACTGATTGGTTAGAACAAGTGTTGCATAAAGGCACGCATGAGGGTCTGCATTATCCCCCTCTGCTCCGTTCTGCAGTCCCATCCTCCATTCAGCTCCTTTTGCAGAGGCTGCTTTGACCAGGGCTCTTCTGCACCGTTCCCGTTGCAGATTACATAGGGCAGCAGTGCTCGGCGGGCTGGTTCGTTAGAAACGCGTATCTCCATGCTTCTCTGGATTCCTTTCTTCCCCTGAACCCAAGATGAACCGCCGTGATGCGGTTGGAAGAAAATACGCCCACAGAACACATGTCCGTGCTGCAAAATGTCCCCAGTGCAGTGACAGATGTTACTCCACCAACCAAAAGCTCGTGTTGTAATTAGCTATTAGTTGCATGTCTCTAAACCCAATTGGATTATATGTCATGTAAGTAAGGGTGCACGTGTCACCTCTGTCTGGCAGGGAGCTATGCTCATCAGTGCAGATGAAATCAGGCTCAGTGGCCAGTTTTTACAAATGCTTCTAATTTACAGAAAAGACTTGAGCCTCACTTGGCCTTAAATAGCCACGTTATTTGTATGAGAAGAAAAAATAATTGGGGGGGGGGGGGAGTGTGTGTTTGTTTCAGGTGACCATTTCCTTGCTGCTAAATATCATTCTGGTTCCATAATAGTTTTGTGTTGCAAAAAACAGTTACCGGCTCCTATTGATTTAAAGCTTTCTTTTAAAGAAGCTCCCATGTTACAAATATATCTGGACACTTACTGATTAAATGTATCCTTTCCACCACATATAAATCTTTCACAGTCCCAGGAAGCTGACCAAATAGCTGGGAGCAGGGAGTTGAAAACATCTTGTACCAGATTTAACAGAGCTTGTTATTTTGAAACTCTGTCTGGCATGGAAGATATAGCCGTGTGTGTTCTCTCTAGGGTCACTGCTGATCTCCAAGATCTGGTACTCATGGTGACCTTGTATTCCTAAGAGTAATGGCTGAAGGATTAGCTTTGAGAACATCCATTTGGTCTCTTTCTAGAAAACGGGCGACAGTTTCCTGAACTGTGTTCAACTTAAAGCAGTGTTTTGAAGGTCTCAGGTCAGGTAGTGCATTGTTGTGGCAGGCCCTGGACAAACAGTAAGGTAAAGTCCCTGTTCAACAGTGAAGGGGAATATAATCATGGGAGTGAAGGAGCATGACCAAGGTCACCTAGCACATCAGTGCCAGAGCCAAGTCTCCTCACTCCGCGTCTAATGCCTTTTCCGTTAGACCATCTGGCCTACCGAAAAACATTCCCCAGTGAAGGCGCAGCTAAGGACACCATTCCTTACCCATCCTGGCTAAGAGCCATTAATGGACTTAACCTCCATGAATTTATCTAGCTCTCTTTCCTAGCCTGTTATAGTCCTAGCCTTCACAACCTCCTCACGCAAGGAGTTCCACAGATTGACTATGTGCAGTGTGAAGAAGAACGTCCTTTTAATTGTTTTAAACCTGCTGCCCGTTAATTTCATTTGGTGGCTCCTAGTTCTTGTATTATAGGAACAAGTAAATAACTTTTCCGTGTTCACTTTCTCCACACCACTCATGATTTTATAGACTTCGATCATATCTCTCTTTAGTCTCCTCTTTTCCACCGGGTATTGGCTGCTGTTGTAAAACAGGACACTGGGCTAGATGGACCTCTTGGAGTTATCCAGGATAGTTCTCTGAAAACTTCCACACAGTGTGCAGCGGCGGTCAAAAAGGCAAATAGGATGCTAGGAATTATTAAGAAAGGGATAGAAAATAAGACCCAGAATATCTGAAAGTGGAAGTAGTCTGGGCGCGAGGTTTTTTTTGGAAAATACTGTGTACAGATGTGGTCTCCTCACCTCCAAAAAGATATTTTGGCCTTGGAAAGGGTTCAGAAAAGGGCAACTAAAATGATTAGGGGTTTGGAACGGGTCCCATATGAAGAGAGGCTAAAGCGACTGGGACTTTTCAGTTTAGAAAAGAGGAGACTGAGGGGGGATATGATAGAGGTCTATAAAATTATGAGTGGCGTGGAGAAAGTAAATAAGGAAAAGTTATTTACTTGTTCCCATAATATAAGAACTAAGGGCCACCAAATGAAATTAATGGGTAGCAGGTTTATAACTAATAAAAGAAAGTTCTTCTTCACACAGCGCGTAGTCAACCTGTGGAACTCCTTGCCAGAGGAGGCTGTGAAGGCTAGACCTATAACAGAGTTTAAAGAGAAGCTAGATCATTTCATGGAGGTTAGGTCCATAAAAGGCTATTAGCCAGGGGGTAGGAATGGTGTCTTTGGCCTCTGTTTGTCAGAGGCTGGAGATGGATGGCACGAGACAAATCGCTTGATCGTTGTCTTTGGTCCACCCCCTTCGGGGCACCTGGCACTGGCCACTGTTGCCAGGCTACTGGGCTAGATGGACCTTTGGTCTGACCCACTACGGCCGTTCTTATGTTCTTATGTTCTTAGATGGACCTTTGGCCTGACCCAGTCTGATCATTCTTATGAGATGAGAGTGGAAGACCAGGACTGCGGATGACTGGCCATGCTCACGCGCAAATAAGTACCCTACCAACAACCCTGGTGTGGTACTAATTGTCCACCCTCCAGGTAGGCAGCAGCATTAACTAACCTCAGGGAGCAGCACCACTTGCTGCTCCAAGATGGGCCTGACTAGCAAACTGGCCTTTTATGCTGCTCAGTTGCTGGGCAGATTACCAGCCAGGTGTGACCTGCCTTTGGATGGAAAAGGTGCTGAAAAGAGGGGGGTGGGGAAGAAGGCTTCCAAGTGGCCTTCACAGGAAACCCAAGATGGCCTTGTAGGGTAACGACAACAACGACAACATTCTGAGACACTGTCACCCACAAAGCCCCTCCCAACCGTGTGTAGCCACAAGTACAGAAAGGCTCCGGCTGCCCCTAACAAACTAGCCAAGCAGAAGTGCCGAACCCATGAAAAGTTCCTCTCTGCAGCAGCCTATGGAAATGCAGAGAGGCACAGAGCTGATCGCGTGCGACGAAGGTGGGACCAGCCAGAAGGAGCAAGGCCGAGGAGGATGCAAATCAGCACGACGCAGTTTTTTTCAAACCTCTTCTGACTTCATCTTCATTTGAGTTGCTGTGAAGCATAAGCATCTACAAGTGAATGGTTTTAATGGGGACATTTGCTATGTCTACACTGCACTCTAAACTCGCAATAAGACACGCGACTTGCCGACGAAGGTGGGACCAGCCAGAAGGAGCAAGGCCGAGGAGGATGCAAATCAGCACGACGCAGTTTTTTTCAAACCTCTTCTGACTTCATCTTCATTTGAGTTGCTGTGAAGCATAAGCATCTACAAGTGAATGGTTTTAATGGGGACATTTGCTATGTCTACACTGCACTCTAAACTCGCAATAAGACACGCGACTTGCGCTATGCAAATTGCATTCTTAGTTTGAGTCTATTTCGAAATAAAGTGCTATTTTGAGCTGTCCCTTACTCCTCGCACAACGAGGTTTATGGGGATGGCAAAATAGTGCGTCTGCTATATTTTGAGACGCGTGGGAGCTATTTCGGGATGCCTCTCTGCAGCAGCCTATGGAAATGCTATTTCAGGATACTTCTGGTATCCCAAAATAACTTTGATGTGCAGACATACCCTTGTTGGAGTGGGGAGTAGAGAGAGAGAGCTCAGCTGGAATTCACTGGGGTCTTGGTATGACAACCTGGAAAGTGTGTGTGTGTGTGCGTGTGGGGTCCATATAGAGGAAAAGTGGGAGATTCCAGGGCTCAGAGACAGATGTTGTGAGTCTCCTGGGGCAAAGTCCTCATTTTTATACCCCAGGGGAGTGACTCCAATTGGGTGCATGTGCCTATTCGCATGTCTACTGATGCGTGAGTTTCTGATTAACTAGCTGCCCATGTTTCTTCCCCAAGACATGTGAAAGAGGCAGGCCAAGTGGAATGTGACAACAGTGTCCTTTCTGGGGCTTCACTGGCCCTATTAGCGCCCTGGACTTCTTTTTCCATGATGGAAAAGCTGTGTTTCTATTAGGGCAGCAGGCAGACGCACCACTGCAGGGATTACACTTGTTCTTTACCAAATGGATTATCCAAGATTAAGTGTCTTATTCAGGCACAGGAGGGAAAATAACCAATTAGTGACTTTGCAGGTTCATTATTTAAAGGCAGGCAGAGGGCAGTTCACAGAGCACTCTCCAGCTGACCACAGAGTGACAGACTGACTCGGAGTAAATTGCAGGGCTCCAGGGGCAATATCCCAGCAGGTAGGTCAACTCTCTCTCAATAAAGAAGCAGGTTAGTCTCTTTGGAACCAGCTTCTCCTGCCCCCATTGGACTTGGCACCTTATGTTAAATCTTCCTAGGGAAACTGCAAGGAGCGTTTGCTGATGCATGAGGGGTAGCTTGAGCGTTAACTGCTCATGTCTTCGGGACCATCTGGAGGGTGGGCCGGGCTCTGCCTAAGTCAGATTATGAAGCTTAAAAATGCGAAATGACTTGCTATGTGATGTGATGACAAGGGTTGAACACCTGCAAAAATAAGCTGTAATAATAATCAAAGGGTGACCACTAAAGACTTTTTTCCCCTTGTAAGCATTTGAGATTAATATGGACGTGTGGGTCAAGAGGGGTATGGTAGGTGGTAAATACAGGTGGGGGTTACGTGGCAAATTGTAATATTCTAAAGGCGGGTCAACAATCCAACATCTGAATATTGTCTCTCAGATCTGAAGCAGCGAGACTATGAGAGGGATTAGTATGAAAGTTAAATGCATTTCATGTTTTGAGAAGCCACCTGAAAACATTTGATTTCATGGGGAAAAAAATCTCCTATGAAAGGTAATAATCCTGCTGGATATAGAGAGATCCCAGGGAGGATGTTGTGAAGGCTAGAACCTTAACAGGCTTCAAAAAAGAGCTAGATACATTTATGGAGGTTAGGTTCATCAATGGCTACTAGCCAGGATGGGTAGGAGTGGTGTCTCTAGCCTCTGTTTGTCAGAGGCTGGGAATGGGCGACAGGGGAGGGATCGCTTGATGATTCCCTGTTCTGTTCACTCCCCGGGGCAGCTGGCACTGGCCACTGGCAGGAGACAGGATGCTAGGTTAGATTCTCTTGGGTCTGATCCAGTCTGGCCATTCTATGTTATGTTCTTATATTCTCTCGATACTGGTAAATACTTAAAACAATTTAATTCTGACAAGTGAAGCTTCTCCCGAGTTCCTTGGAACACTTCCATCAAGACAACATTTAAAAGTAAATGGAAAAGTAGAAAAGCTCTGTTTTCCAGCTCCATTTATATCAATAAAATATAGCTGGCGTAAATGCCAGTATCCGTGGCAAACAAAATACTAATTTAGCAAACTGAAATTATGGTAGGTGCTCCGATGGGTGAATCAGACTTGCTTTAGGCATTTTAATGTGGCCAGGTTTCTTAAAGAAGGATTAATTCTGTACTGTAATTAAAGTAACATGAAAGGAAACACATTTAAAAATGTGCCGTCTGCAATCTGTATTTATAGCAGATGCAGGGATTTTATTTTAAACTTGACCTGAAGATGAATAACTACCATTTTTTCCATCTCAGTGGAGATCTTAACGCGGGTGGAAAACTCCTGACTTGCTGATAAAAGTAAGATTGATTGGTGTCTGCATCTCCACCCCAAATGTGATTGACATGACAGTGGGCTGTAGTGTTTGTTAACCACCCAGAAAAGGTCAATTGTTGAAATGAACACAAGGTCAAGGGCTCTGCTCCCCCCGAAGTCGGTATATTTCAGATGCTCTCTGGATTACTATAGGGCCTTCAATTAAAAACCTTCTTCCAATTTATGGGTCTGCCTCTGCAGGCAACTCCTCATGTATGCTTTTGTCTTGCAGAATGAAATATGCGCAGTATGTGTTCCTGGCAGCAGTGCTCTCGGGTGTTGAACACTGCCTGGCTCAAAGCTGTGTAGTGGATTCTTTCTCTGTGAAGGACAACTTCGACCAGCAACGGGTAATTGTCACAGCTTCATCTGCTGCCCACAGTGTGGTGGTAGAAGCTACACAATTGACATCACCTCTTTAATTTGCATAAAGTGCTAATTAAGTGCAACAGGAGCTGGGAAATTAACCTTTTTGGTTGAGAGGCAAAATATATTCTTTCAATCACTGTTTCCATAGTTTGCTGTTAACTGACCAGATTAATATCCTGTTGCCTTCGGCTCAGTAAAATCTTCAGCCCAAAAAATGCATAAGCCAGAAACATGGCTCATAAGGAAACTTGTCTGTCCTAGCAACATCTGCTGGATTCCTGGAGGTCCCAAAGCTCTGACTCCTAATTCATAAATGTGCTGCCATTAATGGCTTGCTCTGATTCCTTGAACTTAATTCTGAATACATGGGAGAGCCATTCCTCACAGGTAATGAATGGTATGGACTTGCCTCCTTTGAATGTAGTGTACTAACGAGCTGCAAATCTTCACTTGGGAGTCGGAGCAGATGATGAATCAAAGGGAGATGATTTGGGCCTTACTGGAACCCTCATGACTTCTGACATCAGCCAGCTGCTCGGGAGTTTCTGAGGAGCTGGCTGAATTATGGTAGCAAATTTTTACCATAAACATTTTTACCATAAAAAAACGGTGGTGGACCACCATTAACTGGGACAGGAAATCAATAGAATATGGGTTTAGAAGTGGCCAGGGCACCTGCTTGGGACTCTGTGAGTGGAGGGTTCAATTTCCCTGCTCCGCCACAGATTTCCTGCATGGCCTTGGGTGCCTCACCTCTCCAGTTGTAAAATGGGGAGCATAGCAGGCAGAGGTGCGAGTAGAACTTGGTAGGGGTGTTGTGGGGCTGTTGATACCTTCCTGCCCAGCCAGGTGCCAGCTCCTCCCAAATGCCACCAAATCTAAATACCTCCCCTCCTATCCCTCAGGCCCACAGTTGGAGGGGGCTTCCACCAGCCTTGGATAGTGGCATTATGCCAGGGCTACCGACCCAGTTCCTGGCCCAAGGTCAAAGGTGCCGATGTACACTAGAGCCGTTCCTCCGAGCACTAACACGTGTCCACACGGGCCTTGCCCTGGTGTTTAACAGCACCGCCCACAGGGCACCTCCCGACAAGCTTTCTGCAGTAGCTTTCCACCCATGCTGGATGTTCATGCTGGGCAATGGACATTAATAGGGAGGTTTTCCTGTCCTTTCAGTATGCAGGGAAATGGTATGCCCTCGCAAAGAAAGACCCGGAAGGCCTCTTCCTTCAGGATAACATCTCGGCTGAGTACACCGTGGAGGAGGACGGCACTATGATTGCGTCTTCCAAGGGCAGAGTGAAGCTCTTTGGGTAAGTATGAAGCCCTCATGGCAGCTGAGGGCTCTAGTATGTCTTGGGAAAGGATAGCAGGTTTAAAAGAAACACAAGGGAGTATTTCTTCCCACAGCGCATGTTCAACCTGTGGAACTCCTTGCCAAAGGATTTTGTGAAGACCAAGAGTATAACAGAACTCAAAAAAAAAAAGCTAGCTACATTCATGAAGGATAGGTCCATCAATGGCTATGAGTCAGGATGGACAGGGATGGTATCCCTGATCTCTGTTTGTCAGAGGCTGGGAATGGGTGACAGGGGACAGATCACTTGATAATTCTCTGTTCAGTTCACTCCTCTGGGGCACCTGGCATTGGCCACTATCAGAAGACAGGACACTGGGCAAGATGGACCTTTGGTCTGACCCAGTCTGGCCGTTCTTATATTCACTCACAGCGCAGCCCACGTATTGAGTGGGGAAGGATCTGTGCGCCTGGGTGTGGAATGGTGTTTATTTAATGCTGAAGTGTTGTGAAAAGGGAACAGGGCACAGTGGCCCTACTAGCACAGTCACGACTAAGCCCGGTCCCTGTTGGAGCCCTGAGCAGGGCTGCTGTTCTGTGCATTGAAACGTACACACTGCATGTGCTCACTCCGGGGTGTCTCTGCTCCGTTTCAGATTCTGGGTGATCTGCGCGGATATGGCTGCTCAGTACACAGTCCCAGACCCCACCACCCCAGCGAAGATGTACATGACTTACCAAGGCCTGGCTAGCTACCTGTCTAGCGGAGGTGAGTGAATGTCGTCCCCTTTGGTTGGACGGGTGGGTTTGTCTCCTGTGGGTCTCGAGGCACACGTGTTTCCATGGCTGAGCTGTCATGACCGTTGCAATCTGGGACATTGTAGGTCACCCAGGATAGTGAGATATGCGTGAGAGCTGAGGACCAAATGTTGTTGACCAAGCGGCAGAAGGGGTCTGGCTGTGGAATCTACTCTGGGAGACGCCTCTAGAGGCTGATGGTTGGCGAGCACTGCAAAATTGTGCTCCTTGTTGCTTCTCTACCATAACCAACCCTTCTTCCCCAGACAGGGGAGCCGACTGCCTCGCTGGGTCCTAGCAAGGTGGGGAGGAGGGCCAGCTCCATGCTCCTGGAAGAGGTGGGGCCTCAGGAAGAAAGGGCGGGGCCAAGGGCATGCCCCTCCCCTTTCGGTTCTGACTGGCATGTGCTCTGCTGTGCTGCATCTCTACCACCCAGGCAGCCCTCAGAGCCCCCAGAGAGTGCCAAGCTATGATTTAAAGGGCTCAAGGTTCTGGGTGCATCTTGACCAACCCTTTTGAATAACTGGGCCCCGGTCCAGTTGTCGTCTTTGCCCCCCTCCTCTGTCGACGGGCCTGTCCCCAAAACGTGACGGAAAACCGAAAAACTCTGGCAAAATCCACACTTTCCCACAGAAAACATCAATCTGGCAGGAACAGCATTTTCCTTTCAATGGAAAACTGCCAACCCTCTCTGAGGAGATGGCAGCCATTTTGGCCGAGGGCAGTTCTGCATTGAATTCTCTGGGCTCTACCATTGTTCCCTTCAGCCGCTGGTTTAGGAGACCAGGACTCAGTCTGTTCTCATATTTCAGGGGACAACTACTGGGTGATTGACACCGATTACGACAACTATGCCATTACATACGCCTGCCGCAGCCTGAAAGAGGATGGCACTTGTGACGACGGCTACTCCCTTATCTTCTCACGCAAACCCCGTGGTCTCTCACCGGACATTCAGCGCATTGTGCGTCAGAAGCAGGAAGAGATTTGCATGTCTGGCCAGTTCCAGCCAGTGCTGCAGACAGGTACGCTGAAAGACTTAACAGCCTCTTCCTGGTGGAGTCAGCGGCATATTTCTTAACAGAGAGTGTAGGGTTGAGACCAGAAGGGCTGCTCTCACTGTAAAGACCACAAAGTCATTGCAACCTAATGAGCAATTCTTTCGACAGCAATATGAAGTCAGAGCGGGGCTTAGAAACTAAAAATGTGATTTATGGTTGATCTTGTGCAATCTTCCTTCTGCCCCTCGTCCCCA